CTCTTTCTAATAACAAAATACACACGTTAGTAATTTCAAGGAAAATAATAATCAAAACAATTAAATTAAATAATTGAAAGAGAGATTTGAGACCAAACCCTCAGAAATTAAAACCTTTCACGTCTAGGGCGAAGGCAACTTCGAATATGGCTAGGTGTTTCTAGATCTTGTGAATGCGGAATTTTGTATGAAAAAGCAAGAAAGAATTGAAGAAAAGAATACTTGAGAATGAGAGAATTGGTGAATTGGTAGATGTAGATGATCCATGAAAACGGAGTTTTTGATACGATATTTATAGAGAAAATCAGCCAAAAAAGATAATTTAACAAAACAGAGTCTGAAGATCGCAAAACATGATTGGCGCCAACCCTGGCTAGCTGGTTCCAGGCGCCAAGGCCTGGGGTTGGACGCCAAACTGGATTTCAACGCGTTTTCGAAAATCTGATAAATTTCCCGTAGTGGAAGATAAAATAATATAATTCCTTTGAAAATGCTATTTGATCTTGATTAAAACTTTGAAAAGTCAACAAAGTCAACTTATCAATGCTAATTGAATTAGGAATGAAAAGAACCTTCTAGAAGATTCTAGAAGATCAAAACCATTCCTAATTGCATTAGGAATGATAAATCATATTAGGCCCTCCCCTAGATCATTGGGCCGTACATAAAGCTCAAACCGGGCCCAGTTTAGTAAATTGGCCATAATTTCCCCAATATTCATCGGAATTGGGCTTATAATATATCGTCGGAAAGGTCTTTGCAAGCCCCATCCAACTACACCACTATTGGACCCATATCATGGACCAACCAAACTGGATTGACTGTTTTCTTAAAATAAAGTTTTCCAAAACAGGGAGAAGAGAAAAGAAATAAAACTTTCCGCAATACTAGACCTTTTCACACTTTCGTTTCATTCGATTATGATTCGACGTGAAAGGTACTCGTCACCGGGTTTGGTTTTGGGGAGACACAAATGGGTGTCTACAATTATGCTCATTATTTGTCATATATTTCTGCCTTTGGTGTGTTAATATTGCTGGTTGTGTGTTGATCTTGGAGATATATCATATAGCTTGGTTTAAGTGTGACCTTTGAACAAATTAGTAGCTTGTGTGTGCTTGTGGTTTGTTTGTTTGGTCGTTTGATTATTCCGCAAGAGGTGTGTTTATCCTCAACACAATCATCCTAAGTTTTTACTACAGCAAAACTGCAGAATACAAAGGCAGCAGGGCAACAGCAGCACTTTCCCACTACATGGCCAAGTAAGGGGATACTTGAAAGTTGCAGTCAAACATCTTTGGCTTATTAACCTTTTACTGTAGTAATTTTAGAAGAAGACAATAACACTAGTAGTAAATTGTACAAATAGCAATTAAGGCCTCAGAACCTCCCCTATTTGCATAGCTTTAGTAGTAGTATAAATATTGTAAAGCTTTATAAATAGGCTTTTTTTTCCTAAGGTTAATTATTGTGTAGCGTTACAATTCAATTCTAGACCAATTTAGTTAGCAAGTAGAATGGACTACAAAGTATTATTTTTTTAATTTGGGGTTTTTTCTAAGGCTTTTGTCACATATTAATTGTAGACCAATTTTATTAGCAAGTACGGATACTACTCCGTATTTTAATTTAATTTCTCAAAATATTTCACGAATGACATTTTTTTATTTTTATCTTTATTAGAAAATCGTAAATCATAAATATTACTGCAAATCATAATTCTCCTAAAAGTTAGAAGGGTAATGTGGTATAGTATAACATATTAAAAGATAAACATTTTTTACTTGCAATGTTGCAAACTTGCACCAACTAGAATTCCTGGTAGATGGGTAATGTGGTACAGTATAACAGATTAACAATATCTATAATAATAGTCAATATATTTGACTAGGAGCACAACATGAAGCGCAACCAACCAACCACATACGAAGCTATTCATTTAAGCTACACAATTCACATAGGAAGTTATTCATTTAAGCTATACAATGCGTATAGAAATCTCATTTTACTTTAAGAACCTCATATTATACATTTGCTAGCAAACAAACCAACTCTGATACACGTATAATTTGTATTAGAAATTAACGGTCTTTATATCACCATACTTCGTACAATCTTTAATTGTATTAGAAATTAACGGTCTTTGTATCATCGTACTTCGTACAATCGTACTTGCATATTGTATTGATTTTGATATAAACAAGTTACACAAAAATGAAGTTGCAAAGTATAAACCATATGCAAATGCATTTGCTAACACTGAAAAAGTGAAAATAAAAACCACTCCCACTCAAATTTCCACTGTTGGCCTCTTGGCGGGGATTCTGCTACGTACTATTCTGACACACATTCCTTCTTTTCTCTCTCCAATTTCTCTCTCTTCTTTCCGCCATTAAAGCTCCGATTAAGCTCCTCTAAAGCTGGTCACCTCCTCCATCTTTATCTTCTTCTCTCTTATGATGAACTAAAACTGGATTTAGCGACAATTTTCCACTCTCATCAACTGCTTGCTCGAAAAGCTCCACTTGAATAGATATGGTAACATTTTTCTCTAACATTATCTCTGCAACTTCGTTGAGCCTTCAATTTTAGCTTTTATTCATCGATTAATGCTTTTGATTGATTATTTGAAATTTAATTTTCTAGCTAGGTTTAACTGGGTCATCCTCTGTTTTTGAACTTTATATTGTGTTGGCGTCGATTTCTTAACTTCTACAGATCTTCAGGTTCATCTAAAATGGTGATAATCTTTATTATTATTTTTTTGGATATTGGAATTTTTACAGAATGAGTATGATACTTGTTATGGGACATTTTGTACAGCTGTTGACCGACGTTGACATTCAAGACCAAGATATACAACACCGAGTAAAGATGGTTATGGATGCTCTCTAAAGTTATGGAGAAAATATTTACCACTAAGAACAAGTCCATTGAAGTTGTTACACATATGTGTACTCCAAGTCGTCTACATTCACCGGAAGACCAAGTAAAGAGTGAATAACCACTATCTCCTATTTTTATGGAGGGCATCCTCATCCTTCTCCAACAGTCTATTAGCTACTGCTTGAAGTTCTATAAATAGGGAAAAACCTCCTCTTGTTAAGAGATCAACAGATCCCACGTACATAACCTCCTCCTAAACATACTACTCCTTTATTCCCATGCAATTTCTCCAACTTCCATCCACATGTACCTTCCACTAAAAGTGCCATTGCTCAACTACTATATTATAATCCTAATACCACTCTCCTAAAAGACCACTACTGCAATGTATTTCCACAATACTACTTAGCTTATTACGCCATATACACCCTTCCATACTACGTACAAAGTCCATACTTCCTGTTTACTTGTAATTAGCTCCGTATATTTCTATAATTATCGTATACATTGTAATTGTAATGTTTGGCTTCATGCCCATATTATAGTGGATTGGTGATCAAGGATGCACGGACACACCAAAAATCTGAAGAGTCCGAGTCGACACGCGTGTCGGACACGGACACGGATGAGACACGGGGCGACACGTGTCCGACACGCAGAAAACCGTGTCCGATTTTTTTTAACCGTTTTTGATTTTTGGACACGGGCCGTGTCTTGGGCTGACACGGGCCGTTTTGTTATGGACACGCGAAATACCTAAATTCCTATGCTTTGCCTCTCTACCTCTTTCCAAGTTTCCAGTTCTCAAACTCTCAATCCTCTCATCCTCTCAAGTCTCAACTGAACCCCTTGCTGCTCACTTGCTCAGTCGCCGACTTGTAGGTCTCACCGTACCGCCGGCTTGCTGTCTCCGTCACCGCCACTCGCCTCCTTGCCGGTTGTCAGGGTTGCTGGCCTGGCCCTTGCTGCTCGTGGCCTTCATCTCTCATTGTTGCGGGGGTTGCTGGAGTTGCTGGCCTGGCCCTTGCTGTTCGCCTGCTCGTCCTCAGCCACCACCTATCACTCCACCGCCCACCTTGTCGCCCGTCGTCCGTGTCAGCCACCAGGTATGGTTCTTCACTACTTTTTTTTTTTAAATTCAATTAAAGTTCTGAATATGCATCCTTGGATGTCGAGAAGTGAGAGAATGTCGGTGAGAATGGAGTCTGGGAGAGAACTTAATCGGTCTTCATTTTCTGAGTCTCCGCCATTGTTGTCTTTAATGGAGCTCAATTTCAGCCTTTTCGTGCTTATTTCTTGGTGTTCTGTCATTCAACAATTGAGCTCCATTGTTATCTTTACTGGAGCTCAATTTCTGCCATTCAACAATTGTTGTGATTCTGAAGTGAATTCGAGTAATGCTAATTTGGGGAATTTTTTAGGGTTTTAATCAGTGTAAGTGTGTAAGAACTTCTGATTTTCTGAAATTCAATTGCTTCAATAATTCAATTTGTTGTTCGTCGTCAGCCAGACAACCACCGCCAACCACCGTGTTTTGACAGTTTTGTTGATTACTTGATGAGATGTTTGATTTTGTGTTATGTTTCTAGTTTTGTTTGATTACTTGAAGAGTACTATTAAGACATGTCTGGTTTGATGGTTTCTTGATATGTATCCGACTATGTCCGTACACTTTGTTCATTTACTTGTTTAATTAAAATTGTGTGTTTTGAGGCTAATTATTTAGTGTTTTATTGAATTAGTTGTCAAATTCTCGTTTTTTTAATATATTATATGCCTTGTTATACGCCGTACCCGTGTCCCCTATTTTAGGATTGCCGTTTTCCCGTGTCCGTATCGTGTCCGTGTCCGTGTCCGTATCCGTTTCCGTGCATCCTAGTTGGTGATAGGGTTGGCAAAAGCTGACCCGACCCGAACCCGACCTGAAAAAATAGCGGGTTAGGGTTGAGGTTTTTGACCCGAAAACTTAAATGGGTTGACATGAACCCGACCTGAAATTTAAATGGGTTAGGTTAAGGTTGAAAATCCCAACCCGAAATTGATCCACATAACCCGAAAAAAAAATAAATAAATAAAGCCTACATAAATCATAAGCCCAGCCCAAATTCGAAATGAGCCCACCTTATAACATCAAAAACCCTAAACTCCTCTATTCTTTCTCACTTTCACTCAGTCGTTCTCAGTTCTCCTCCATTCTCTCTCTTAAATTTTCTCTCTTTTCATTCCCTAAAACCCTCTCCAACCTTTTTCAAACCCTTAATTTCGATTTAATCCTTGAATTATTTTCATCAATCTACACTTCCTCGCGTCATCTCAACCTCTCCTTCATCAATTCAAGGTTTTTTTTTTTATTTATTTTTATGTATTAGTTTTATGAAAATACAGTTTGTTCATGTTAGAATACAATTTTACATGCTAATTACGGTTGTTAATTTATGTTGAATTGTTATTTGGTTGTAGATTTGTTGTTGCTGATTTATTTTGTTAAATTTTGTTTTACATGTTTGTGTTAAATAATTGTTTGTGTTAAATGATGGTTGTGTTATTTTTAATGGCGGTAGTTGTGTTAATCCCTCGGCGTTTTTCCACCACCATCGCATCACTCTTTCTTTGCTTCATCGGCCTCACCTCATCGTTGCCGCTCAATCGATCTAGCAACAGCAAGCATCAACCTCTCCGCAAATCATTGAAATTGGAGACATGTTTATGTTTTTTTTAATTTTAGATCTTATGTAATGTAATTTAATTTGGTATTTTATCATCCAAGACTATTTATGATCTACACTTTTAATTTGTTTGGTATCAATTTGATTATTTATCAATGATTTTCTTTATAAAATTAAGATTTAATATATAAAATGAAATGGGAAATATAAGATCTGAAATTTTTAGTAGATTCAGAATCGGAAAAAAAAAATGATCTAAAAAAATCAGGTCAGATTCGGGTTGACCCGAACCCGAAAAAATCAGGTTAGTGTTGAGCTTTTTGACCCGAAAAGTTAAATGGATCAGGTTCAGGTTAGGGGTATTCGACCCGAAATTAAACTGACCCGAACACGAACCCGACCCGACCTGATCCATTTGCCAGCCCTAATTGGTGGCCTCATTGCCACTCGCGGTTTTTACCCACCTTTATTGGGGTTTTCCGCGTCATCATATCATGTCTCCCCTCTCTTTCTTTATTTTTCCGTCATTTATTTTCCGCATCCAACATTCCTTATTTTAATTTAGTTGATCCGTAGCCGGTATCCCACATCAAATCCTACTTGACAAAATTTAGCATAAACAATTTGGTGCCCACCGTGGGGGTACAACTAGATTGAAATATCAACCCTACAAAAGTTCCTTTCCAAACACATTCCCATCATCAAGCTATATCTACATCCATTTAAAAACTATCTGTCATCCCAACATCGTGGTAGCGGTCGTCCACAAAAATCATGAGTTGGTGATATTCGACCAAGTGACAACAACAACTCAGTGTCGCCAGCATCAATTACTAATGTCCTGATTGATGGAGATAAGTATGCTTTTACCTAATCTTTAGACAATTCACTATAAGAAAAATCTCTTTTCGTAGCGATTGTACAATATGCAAGTATGTTTGTGAAATAATTAAGGATGTCGTATCAATTTTATAATCGCCATGGTTTTCCCATATAAAATCGATACGGAAAACATAATAATACATATCAACACTATTTTTACACATTGATATAATTTTGAGAATTCGTAACATTTACAATCGCCACTAAATCCTAAAAATCGATACGAAAAGCCTTTTTAACACTAGATATATAAATATTGTTTGACAAAGAATACATAAAATATGTCATAGCTTATTGGTGAAACATTAAATATAAGAGTTTGAGGTTGCATGTTCGAATCTTGTAAAGATCATACGCATGTTTTTTTTTTTATTATTTTTTTTATAGAAAATGAGTTAAACATTTATAGCGATTGTAATCGCTACAATAATAACCACGATTGGATGTAGTTTTTCGTATCGATTATTGAGGCCAACCCCAGCTGTTTCGGGGTTTTCTGATGTCCTGCGGGAGAGTTACAATTCCGAGACTGGAACCGGACGCCTGTACCTGCAAAATAACGGAGACTCCTGAGAGCTCCGCCTCCAACGGTCAAGTTAGTACCTGATTAAGGAGTAATCAATACAGAAATTAAAGTAATGAGGTCTCTCTAGGTGAGAGTGCTTAGTGTTGGTAATCTGCGTCGTTAGCGAGATTAGCCGGTTGTTAATAACTCTGTTCTTCTCTGCTTGATCTCTTGATTATTCGATTCTGTGATTAATGAGGATTAATTAAGTATTTATAGCCTTGAGAAGCGTGCAACTCTCTAGGTTTAAGGTAAACCTAGGGCTGATCGGGCCTCTAGACTGGATTGGGCCTTGGTGGCCGGTTTTCCCATTTGGCATGGGTGGACACGTGGCGTGTCTATAGTGGTCCGTAGAGGACGTATCTGTGACTGACACGTGGCAGGCTCCTGTTGTCCTTCGTGAAGGACACGTGGCGGAACCGGGTTGGTCCACTTGTCAGAAGGTGATTGGTGGATAAAAATCCCCTAATCATTTGCCCCTCACAGGTGGCACGTGACTGGTCACGGGTCGCCTGTGACAGGTGTCGCACGGTGACAGGCGACGGCCTGTTACAGGTGTCACCTTGCAAACGGCCGAGAGATTTTCCCGCCCAAATTTTGAATTTGGAAGCGACCCTTCGCCTTCTCACTTTGCCTATAAAAGGAAGTGCTGACTTCGGTCATTTTCACATTTGAGAACTTTGCGAGAACATTCGGACCCCTGAACTTGCTCTGACATTTCGGACCTTTTCTGCCTACCGCCTGTTCTGACAAGCCGACTGACCCGAACTTCCAGGACTTCATCAACCGTCACTCGTTCAGGTAACTCAGTTCTCTTACTCTTAATTTTCTTTTTATTTTTTGAAATGGCACCATGGAAGCACACGACACGCCCTAAGTTAGCGATCAGCCGGTCACCGGGGACGGCTGAATCTAGGACTAGGAGTGCCGCCTGCCCTTTTCTGGACCCATCTTTGCCCTTTATACAAAGTCCGACTGTATCTGTGTCTATGCAGAACGTGATGGCCAGAACAAAAAAGACTGCTATGATATCAAACTTAGACGGCTCCTCCCAAAGGGTGCTCCTTAGTGAAACATCTGACCAGGCGCCAGATGTAGAACGAGGCGACTGTCAAGCCGACAGTTCTGAGAGAGGGGCCAAGGTGTTCCCTTCCCATCTTACCGTGGACATGTCTAATTTTCCTTCTGCTCCTTCTAAGGGAGAGGAGGCGGGCCCCTCTAGGAGAGGGGAGGAGTCGTCCTCCTCGGACTCGTCAGAGGACGAGTCTGAGTCCAGTTCTTCTGGCCACAGTTCTCCTGGCTCAGAAGAAAAACATAGCCGCCTACAAGAGGCGAGACGTTCTCATGCAGTTGAGAAGGGGGACAATTGGGCGGAGCCGTCCGCCTCTTACAGAGAGGAAAACGCCCCCTACTACTGCAGGGTACCCCGGGGCCGGATCGCAACCATGCAAGACAACGTGGCGAGCTTTATTGCTAACCACAAAATGGGCCCGGAATTTTTACTGTTCGTGCCGGATCCAGAAGACACTGTCGTCTGGCCGGCTGGTACCAGCTATGGTGACGGCTGCTTTGGCTGCTATGTGGCGGCCATCAAAGCTGGACTGCGCTTCCCATTACATCCGGCTGTTCAGCGGATTTTAGATGGGTATGATCTGGGGTTATGGCAGTTAGCCCCCAACTCTTGGGTAAACGTACTCGGCTATGTGGCCGGGTGCGAATTGAACGGGGTGGAGCCAAGCTTTGAGGCTTTCGCCCACATGGACTATCTCAGCCGGACCCCTAAGTCGGGAGGTACCGGCTGGTATCAATTAACAAGCCATAGGGGTTACCTCATGACGAGAGGTAAGGCAAACAAATGGAAGGATTGGCGGAACACCTTCCTTATTATCGAGGGTTCAGACACGGAGCTGAACAAACGCTTTAACAAGTGGAATAGGGATCCGCCTCTTCTCGCAGGCGGCCGCAGCATGCCGCCTGTTCCCCCAAAGGCTAAAAAAGAGATCCTAGACAAAGGACTCTTCAAAGTAGAGACTAGGGTGAACTCTACTTCAGGGGTACGAGAGCAAGTACCCCTAAACTGCGTCCCGAGCTTCAAGTGGCTCTATGACGAGTACTTTTTGGCCGCCTGTGGCCTCAGCAGTCGGTGCTCTAGAGGTAGCCGGCCTGACAAATACTGTTTTTTCACGCCTTGTTTACTTGGGATTTTTACTAACTTTGTTGCTTATTTCTTGCAGCTGACGCCATGAGTAAAATATCAGCATCTAAGACTGCGGCGGCCATGTTGCGGGTCTCGCTAATGAAGCAGTCGTATGCCGACTCCCCCAACAAGGAGGCACCCTTGGTAAGCTTTGAAAACTCTTCCTCTTTTAGTTGTCTTATGCATATACTAACTCTTTTTGTTTTCAGTCTGGCACTCCAAGGGCTTCTTCCTCGCAACAGCCGGACCCCAAGGCCCGGAGGACGACTGTTGCAAGCTCTCCTGGGTCTTCCAGGAAAACAGTGGCGGCTGAGAAGCAGCCGGCCACTTCTTCAAAAACCCAGGCGGGGCCGCCTAGATGTATGGACACTCACTTGTAAAAACTCACCCTTGCTTCCTTCTTGATTAGGTCTAACTTGTTTTATCCTTTCGCTTAATGCAGCCGGCCCCCAGGGACTTGACTTGGTTGAGGTAGCCAAGTCTATGGTTAAAGTAGTTCCTCCATCTGACAGGGAGGCGGTCAAGGGTGCCGGCACCCTTGACCTTGATGGAATTTCAGGGGTCCTTGCTGAGGTATACTTAGCATTTTTTGAGCTTTTGAGTTCCGGGACGCCTGTTATCCTTTTTGTTTGGAAACTGACGCCTGTTTTTCTTTGTACTTAGGCCCTGCTCCGAGTCAACAGCCTTCGCAAGCCGATTGATCGGAAAAACAAAGAGGTAAAGGCCGCAAAGGCTATGGCCGCCTCCAGCTGTGATAAGGCAATGTTTCAAATTGCCCAAAATGAAGTACTGACCATTGATCTTCTTTATTATCAGGCGCAGGCTACCGCCGCTGTTCGGGCCCAGTTAGAGGCGGCCCAAAAGAAGGTTGACGAGCTGGAGGGGACCGTCACCAACCTTAAGGCCGAGCTGAAACCTCTTCGCCAAAAAATGCACTCTTACGAAGCCATGGAGAAATCTTTGGCCAACGTAAAAGAACGCCTGGTGAACCAAGAGAAGAGTCTTACCCAAGAGCTCTCGGATAAGGCCGAGCAAGAGAAACAAGAGCTCGTCCGGGAGATGGTGGAAGACTCCGCTCAAATCCAGCGCATGACCTGGGAACGACTGTTCCCCAGTGCCGACTTTGCCTCATGGGAAAGAACGTACCGCCAGTGTTCGGAAATATATAACCAACAGATCCTGGCGGCTGCTGAAGAAGAGGCGTTGGACGGTGCGTTGGAGGAGAAAGAGCCGGTTGTGGCGCTTGTGCCACTTGGGGGTAAGGCATCAAAAGAGGGTGCAGCTAAGGCCGAGTCCAGCAAGAAGAGTGCTGACCAGGCGGCAGCTGCTGATACTGAACTGCCCCCTTCTTAAGCTTTAAGTATTTTTTCTTTTCACGGCCTGCGTGCCGTTTGCTTTGTAATTACCCGGCCAGGGGGCCGGGGTTTTGAATATTCTGCTGGTCTTTAATGGCCGGCTCATTTTTAATCAAATTTTTGTTTTG